GAACAGCCGAACATACATAGCTAGATCGACGTAACTCGGCAAGATAGGAAGATCCGTATATGTTTGCTATGTCTTGGACCAACATTTCCAGGTGTTACATTCTTTTTGGCCCAATCAAAACTTTTACAACACTGTTGGGGGTATAACATAGTGTTGTATGTTATAATAATCAAATAATCGAAACGTTTTAAGTAATTTCATAAAACAGGATGTTGAAAGACATATTTGTTCAATAATATGATGAAGTATATTTAGGTTTATATGCAAAAGGTACTGTTTCCTAAACAAGAAATTTCAAAAATGAATTGAACAAAATATTAAGCACTTGCATTAATTTTTATGTAGAACTTGCTAAAAAATTGACCCAAAAAGAGTAATGAAGACGATAGCCGACTCGTTGTTAGTTATTTTTGGAGATTTTGCAACTTTTAAGAAAATAAAGGACAATCTTTAGAATCCGAGCTAGGGAGTTAAACTTTCTAAATTTTGAAGAAATTTTTAAAATGTTTGTAGATCACCTTCGAAATATTGGAATGAAAAATAAAGAATGACATCAAGCTTGATTATTTATTATTTTTTATACACAACTGAATTTGTTTTCCTATCCTTTCTTTTCCTTTTCCCACTGTTATTTTGTTATAAGTCAAAAATGTGTTTTAATTTAATAATTTTTAAGTTTCCGAGTTTTTGCCGATTATGCCGATTTTTTTCTGCAAAATTTTATTGGCAATCCCGCCGCCGTATCATTTGTTCTTTGATATTGCTTGATTGATAACAAAAACAGAAGCAGGCAACGGAAAGTAATTTTTCTTGAAATTTTTTTCTCCCTCTCTTTAGCTATTTGCTTTGTTTCTTCTTGAACTTAAGTTCTTAGATAAGCATTGAAAAATTCAAGCAAATTCAAACCCTAGCCCTGGTTATGAAAACATTGTGTAATTAAATTAATTTCATTTATCTTTTACGACAGAGGAATGAAATTAAATAAAGATCTTTAGGTACGCGGGTTTCGATTGGATACACTTAATAAATTTCACTTTCCTAGAAAGTTTGGAAACGAAAAACTTGTAATCGCATAAAAACTTAATCAAAATTATCAATGATAATACTACTGTTTACTCAAATAAATATTTCTAGAATAAAGGAAAGACACATTTACTTGTATAGAGATATTACGGGGTTCCGTTTGCAAATGGTAACACTTATAGATTTTTGCACTTTTTAACATAAAATACTTTCAGATTTATGAAATCCACTCGATCTCAAATATCAATTCCATAGCGAATACTTCAAATAAAATCGATTGATATCCAGATTCACGTGACGTATATGCGATGGAATTGACATTTAAAATGGAATGGATTTAGTAGTATAAACGCGCTCATAGGCACTGCGTTAAAAAATACAATATTTTTTAGATGTAGTTGGTTTATGCTGATTATATAATAAAATAATGTACTATATACAGGGCGAGATGAAAAAATTGCAAACAACATCAGACTGCTGTAATACCTAAGCCACTCGTCCGACAGCTGTTAAAATTATTCCGGTGACAGCTCATTATATTGTTTACAAGCGTACAAAAGCATTTTGGTGAGAATTTTCCAGAAAAAAGTTTTTCGTGATGAAATTCAAGCGTGATAGTGTGATTGGCTGGGAAATCGCAAGTGGCTATCGTCAGAGCACTCCAGCATTTAAATATGAATAAATCTTTTGTGTCTCGTACCATCGTTCGTTACCGTGATACTGGTAGTGAGCCCGACGTCAAGGAAGTGGACGAAAGAAAACAGCAACATCAGCAGAAATGGTTCGAATAGTAAAGAAGCGACTTGATCGAAATACTCCATTCGGAAATGTTGAAAAATGAGCTCGGGGTAAAGCCATTGAAATTTCAAAAACGAATTTGGTTTTCTCCGATGAGAAAATATTCGTTGTCCAGCAGTTTGTAAATAAACAAAATGACCGTGTTTACTTGCCAAAGAGGTCATCTGAAAATGTGCACCTTAGGCTGGCCACCAGAACTCAAGCGCCGGCCATGGTGATGGTGTGGACCGCCTAACAGCCGAAGGTCGCTCTCGGCTCGTATTAATCGACCGTGGCATTAGAATAAATGCCGAATATTATAGCGAAAATATTCTGGAGGGTGTAATAAATCCAAATAAATCCAAACGCAAGTATTTTGGCAGCAGAACTTGGACATTCCAACAGGACTCGGAACCATCCCACTCAGCACACCCCACCTAAGAATGGTTACAAAATGAAGTTCCCCGCTTCATTTCCAGCCCTCAATGGTCACCACGAACTCCGGATACCAATCCGTTGGACTATTGTGTGTGGAGTATCACTAAAAAATACCAAAGTGTCGATCACCTCAAGCAAGCGCTTCGGCGGGAATGGGCCGAAATATCGCTGAGCAACATTCGGGCAGCGTGTTTGAAGGCTATAATTCCTGCCAAAGGTGACCAATTCGAACAAATCTAAAATTTTTCTAAAATTCGATGCTATTTCCGACATTTTCAATTCATTCAATAAAATTAAAAAAATGTAAAAATTATGGCATTTGACTTTGTTGCAGTTTTTTTTTATTTCACCCTGTAGTCGTAGCCTGGATTTTGGCCTTATTTGCATCCTAATATATCTGTTAAAATGCTGTTGTGTGTTTTGTGGATTTAAATCGAACTAGAAACCTAACAATTGCACAAAATCCAAACATCATTTATTGTGTTCCTCCCCTTTTTAAAGGTAAAACTGTTTAGCCAATCATTGCAATAAACAATGAGTCATTAAAAAACACATTAGACATTGTGGATTTTTTATACGAACTTATTATTTTTTCCTTTCATAAAATGACATTTGGACTATCACATGCAAAGTGCAAAGTCATACGCAATGATGTGTATGTAAGACAAGTAAAATTGCAACTTACTTTTAATACCCCCCACCATTTGGAAGGAACTTCAAAATTTAAAAAAAATCGTCGAAAAATACCGGCTAAGTGTAAACCGTTTTATGGGGGACATACGAAGATTAGGACATGACATTTTTTTTTGTCATAGGTTATAGCACCCAATATATCTTGGAATACGAAACTTGAAACAATTCCCGCAAAAAATGTCACTAAAATTATCAAAATACCGTATATTGGGAGTTACCGTTATATATTCACCAACACGGTCCATTAACGAACTTAACCTGCTTATTGGCAAAATACACGTGTTTGCAAAATGTTAGCCTTCTATCTCAATTCGTTCGAAAGATAGCGTGATGGTTGGGTCTAACATGAGTGTTTTGAGGAAGTTTAAACGGAATGACAATATTAAAATAACATCCACAGTAAGGGCCATGTCGGTCAACCTTTTAATATAGCCCCTATATAACGGTATCTCTCAATATACGGTATTATGATGATTTTAGTGACATTATAGAGCGGACTCGTATCAAACTACGTTTTGAAAAATGTTAATGGACACTAATACCTATGACAAAAATTACTTATTCAGGTCCACGTCTTTTTATAGCTCCTATATAATAATATCTACCGACATTCGTTATTTTTTGGTTTTAGAGACATTATAGAACAGAATTGTTTCATGGTATTTAATACTCGTAATGGGTACTACACACACAGACCCACGTCTTCGTATGGGCCCCATAAATCGGTACCTCCCAAGATTCGGTATTTTCATGATTTTAGCGTTATTATTCAAAGATTGTTTCAAAGATGAAGTTAATGTGTACTACAACTTATGACAAAAAATTGCCTATGCGCGTCCACGCCTTCCTATAGCCCTTATATATACCTTATACCTCCCGACATTCGGTATTTTTATGATTTTAAAGATTTTATTAACCGGAATTGTTTAAAATTTCGTATTTAAAATTCATAATGGATACGACAACTTAGCCGTTTAGCCCATATATGACAGTACTTCCCTTTATTGGTATTTTGATGATATTCACCGGAATTCTTTCAAATTTCGTATTTTAATTTTGGAATCGGTACTACAGCCAATGACAAAAAATTACTTATGAAGGTCTCGTCTTCGTATATCCCCCATATAACGATTTTTATTTAGTATTTTTCGACGAACATTTTTTTAAATTTTTGCAAATTCTTTCCAAATGGTGGAGGGTATTAAAAGCTCTGCTCGGCCGAACTTAGCTGCTTTTATACTTGCTCTTTTTATAAATATAACTTTATCTTTCAATCAAATTTTCGTAAACGGAACGGTTGCATAATAAAATCTGATGAATATTTCAAATAATTAGTTACCTTCATATGATATTTTTTTCAACTCAGAAAATTTAAAAGCGACACAGATTTGTTTATTCTAATCACTCAAAAATATCGGCTTAAATAATTTTCTGGAATGTTAAGTTACTCACTATCATATTGTACTTTTACGTCTTAATTAAAAAAAGCGAAATCAGAAAGTTAAGAAGGCAGTTAATAAAGTAATTCACTAATAATTCGCGAAAGAACTAACTGAGAAAATTTACTGGAAATGAAACAAATACATACCTACTAATATGATTTTTTTTCAACCACATTTGCTCACTTTACAATTCAATCTGTTAATCAGCTGGTCATTATTGGGGACGTTATTAATGGAACATCGACCATATTACCTTAGCCTTACTGTTAAAATTATTGCAATTTTAAAAGTGACAATTGAAAAGTGCTAATACAAATTTTAGGATATTTACAATCTAAAAGAAGTTTTTCACTGTAATTCTTTCTGTTATTTTGGTTACCTTCAATGAAAAATGTGATTGTTCAATTTTATAGTCTTTTCCTTGAATATAAGATTCTCTTTTTAACATACATTTATGTATAAGTAAGAAACTTCACGCCAATTTTTTAATTAAATATATTCACATTTTTGCTGTTTTAATGTCTACTTGGTTGACTTTTAGTGTCTTATAAATTGTTTTGATATTTTCACTCGCCACTTTTTCAGACATTTATATTTATTGTCCTTTTTTATTTAATCTTCACCTACCGATTTCAGTATTCACATATATCACTAGAATTCCTACCGCGAGTAAAAGAGGACTTTTTCGGGACAACATGTTGTCCAAAAAAAATCGCACGGATTATACGCGCTCCAAATATTGTGTTTGACTAATTGGTGCGATCAAAGTGGTTGCCTTTATATAGACTTGGTACGAAACAATAGGAAACATAATAAACGTATATTCATATACAAATTATTAGTTTATTGTACGAAATCCAAAATGTGTAGTTGCTAGTACGTTAAGCTTGATAAAATTAGTCCGTCCACACATTCTGTATTGGCCATGTTTTTATTTATGACCGTTGAAGTGCCAGCAATTTATTCCTGATCGTTGCGATTAGAGTTATCGCTCGCTTGGTTGCTCGTTTTATGACTTTCTTCCAATCGATATAATATTGTTAATTTCGGACATAAAATAATGAACCTTTCTCGTCAAATAATGCAGAAGGAAAACAAAATTTTCGCATTCGATTTCTTATCAAACGAGTTGATACTGCGATTAGATTTCAAATGTGAGTATAGGAATATTTTTCACAGTTTCTGTGTATTTAATTGTTGTTTGTAACAAATCAGTAATTGCAACTTGTAACAACCTCCACCATTTTCCCCCTAAAATGTTTCGTCATTGAATGATTATGATTATATTGTTGATATCAAAACTTGAAGTACGTACTATTTTTGTATATTCCAATTTTTGGTCAAGAAATATTTCTTATAAAGATAAAGCAAAATATTAGGTTAATAGGTAGGTGGAACGTAACATATTACACATATATATTGACTAATAAGCTGAAGCTAGTATGATACAATTGATTGCATAGTTTGTATTATTTCAGAATTTTAATCAAATGGAACAAACATCTAATCTAATGACGAATATGGGAATATGGGGAAGTCCAAGTACTTGGATAGTCACAGTTGTCATAAATTACTATTATAAGGTATATAGCTTTTGTTATTAAGTTTGCAACATTCAACAGGTAGAGTGAAAAATGGTTCCAAATAGAATATTTGAATTTATTATGTAACGACGTACTCAGGCCAATTCATTAACAATAACATGTATACATTACATTGCAAATAAATTTAAATAAATGTTAGCTTATTTCGATTCATTTATTTTGTAAATTCATGGTTCTTAAACATATTTTACTTCCTTTAGAAGAAGTCACTTCAATAATCCAATGTACTCTTGGACCAAAGTGATAAACTCGTTATATCAATATAAAATATTTGTAAGTTCATATAAATATATGTTTATTAAATGACACTCTCCGCGTCGCACAGAACAAAATGCCTCATAGTAGTAATTTACTAATGGGAATTTATTGAAAACATATAAATTAAAAGGAATTTTGGTATTAATACGTCAAAATAAGAGGATTTAAGTCCTACAATTGTAGATAATCGCTATTTTGTTTATAATTAATTAATCATATTACGATCAACTATTTAAAAATTAAAAGCATCGGTTGCTACAAGAGTATATTGCCGATAGGGAAAGTTTAGTCGGAACCAACAACACTTTGTTTCTATATTGTCAAGTTAAATGTTAACAATACGTTAAGTTGAACCGTGCGAACATTTTATAACCGTCCAAACAGACGAAGAAGACCTTTAAAAATAAAATTATACGGACTCAGTATTCTAACCTACTTCATTTTAAACTGCAAATCCCAGCGAAATTGGTTGGAGAATTTGTTAAAAAAATCAAACCTTGAATTGGTAAATATTGTGAGTTTCAAGTACCAAATTTGAAACAATTATATTGAAAATGTGGCAAAAATTATGAAAAAAAAATATGAATCGGGAAAAAAGATTTTTTTTCGAAAAAATCTGAGAGAATTGTAATTTTGGAATTTCGAAAAAATTAAAGTTGTGGTGAGTCGTACTCGGTTTGTGCCCATTTGCCAAATTATAAATGGGCACAAACCGAGTACGACTTTTATTTTTTTCGAAATTCGAAAATTGCAATTCTCTCAGATTTTTTCGAAAAAAAATCTTTTTTCGAATATCTTAGAAATTTTATCAAATTTCGAAAGAAAATTTCGGCACAATTGAGCACAACTTTCCTTTTTTCGAAATTCGATATATATATATATATATATATATATATATATATATATATATATATATATATATATATATATATATATATATATATATATATATATATATATATATATATATATATATATATATATATATAAATATATATATATATATATATATATATATATATATACTGCGTTTCTAATGGTTTTGTCTTTTACGCATTAAAGTAGTGCAATATATGTTTTTTAATTTTTAAATTTGTTTTTTTTTTTTTGAAATCGTAAATAAAATTTTGAATGCATATAAAATCAAAAGGTGTAGCGAAGCGCACCGGGTTCAACTAGTATATATATATATATATATATATATATATATATATATATATATATATATATATATATATATATATATATGTATATATATGTATACAAATGTATATATATATATATATATATATATATATATATTTACTTTTATACCAAATTCCGCCACACCTTCCATATTTCATTGAAATTGGTGCGTCAAATATGTGAAATCGGCCGAGAATATATATATATATATATATATATATATATATATATATATATATGGGAGCTATATCCAAATCTTAGCGTATTTGAATATAATTTGTTAAATTTATTTTTGTGCCAAATTAAGTCACTCATGCCGAATTTCATTGGAATCGGAAATCCGTATCGTGTTTTGCGCATCAAATATGTGAAATCGGCGGAAAATATATATGGGAGCTATATCCAAATCTGAACCGGTTTTAATATAATTTGTCTAATTTACTTTTCTAGTCAAAATCCCGTTACATATTCCAAGTTCCTTTGGAATCGAACATACATATCGTGTATGGTGCATAAAATACATGCAATCGGTCGAAAATATATATGAGAGCTATATCCAAATCTGAACCGATTTTTATATAATTTGACAAATGTACATTCGTTTTAATTTTCGCTACACATTCCAAATTTTATTGAAATTAGAGATACATAGCGTGTTTGGTGCATCAAATACATGAAATCGGTCGAAAATATATATGGGAGCTATATCTAAATCTGAACCGATTTCAATATAATTTGACAAACTAATTTTTGCTCCCAATTCCGTTACTTATTTTAAATTTCATTAAAATTAGAAATACATGTCGTGTTTGGTGCACCAAATACATGAAATCGGCCGAAATGTATATGGGAGCTATATCCAAATCTGAGCCGATTTCAATATAATTTGAGAAATCAATTTTTTAGATGAAATCCATCATACGTTTCAAATTTCCTTGAAATTGGGGATACATAGCGTGTTTGGTGCATCAAATGCTTGAAATCGGCCGAAAATATATATGGGAGCTATATCCAAATCTGAACCGATTTCAATATAATTTGACAAATTTATTTTCGGATCAAATCCCGTCACACATTCCAAATTTCATTGGAATCGAACATTCATATCGTGTTTGAGGCATCAAATTAACAAAATCGGTCGAAAATATATATGGGAGCTATATCCGAATCTGAACCGATTACAATATAATTTGGCAAACTTATTTTTGTTCCAAATTCCGTTACGCATTCCAAATTTGAAGACTATATCTGTAATCGATCAAGTGGAATTTCAAAAATGTATATAGCCTATGTTACTTTCAGGCGATGTTGCAGTATACATCGAAATGTTCAGGAAAATCTGTTCAGCGGTTTTCGAGGCCATAAACAACAAACAAACAAACATACAAACATTTTCCTCTTTTTTTTTGTAAGGGCCCGTATTTTATGTAAGGGACCATATATATATATATATATATATATATATATATATATATATATATATATGTTCAGGAAAATCTGTTCAGCGGTTTTCGAGGCCATAAACAACAAACAAACAAACATACAAACATTTTCCTCTTTTTTTTTGTAAGGGCCCGTATTTTATGTAAGGGACCATATATATATATATATATATATATATATATATATATATATATATATGGTCCCTTACATAAAATACGGGCCCTTACAAAAAAAAAGAGGAAAATGTTTGTATGTTTGTTTGTTTGTTGTTTATGGCCTCGAAAACCGCTGAACAGATTTTCCTGAACATTTCGATGTATACTGCAACATCGCCTGAAAGTAACATAGGCTATATACATTTTTGAAATTCCACTTGATCGATTACAGATATAGTCTTCAAATTTGGAATGCGTAACGGAATTTGGAACAAAAATAAGTTTGCCAAATTATATTGTAATCGGTTCAGATTCGGATATAGCTCCCATATATATTTTCGACCGATTTTGTTAATTTGATGCCTCAAACACGATATGAATGTTCGATTTTATGTATGGGAGCTATATCCAAATCTTAGCGTATTTGAATATAATTTGTTAAATTTATTTTTGTGCCAAATTAAGTCACTCATGCCGAATTTCATTGGAATCGGAAATCCGTATCGTGTTTTGCGCATCAAATATGTGAAATCGGCGGAAAATATATATGGGAGCTATATCCAAATCTGAACCGGTTTTAATATAATTTGTCTAATTTATTTTCTAGTCAAAATCCCGTTACATATTCCAAGTTCCTTTGGAATCGAACATACATATCGTGTATGGTGCATAAAATACATGCAATCGGTCGAAAATATATATGAGAGCTATATCCAAATCTGAACCGATTTTGATATAATTTGACAAATGTACATTCGTTTTAATTTCCGCTACACATTCCAAATTTTATTGAAATTAGAGATACATAGCGTGTTTGGTGCATCAAATACATGAAATCGGTCGAAAATATATATGGGAGCTATATCTAAATCTGAACCGATTTCAATATAATTTGACAAACTAATTTTTGCTCCCAATTCCGTTACTTATTTTAAATTTCATTAAAATTAGAAATACATGTCGTGTTTGGTGCACCAAATACATGAAATCGGCCGAAAATGTATATGGGAGCTATATCCAAATCTGAGCCGATTTCAATATAATTTGAGAAATCAATTTTTTAGATGAAATCCATCATACGTTTCAAATTTCCTTGAAATTGGGGATACATAGCGTGTTTGGTGCATCAAATGCTTGAAAT